CTCCCACAATCATTAAATCAATTACAAAATAATTAAAAATTATTCTAAATATTATATTTTCTCTATTAAAATTAATAAATTGAATTATGTCACTCTATATACGAGGATAATAATCTTATTATTAATGATGCTAAATGTACCTTTGATCGTTTCTAACCATGTCAAGGTTCTCATCTCAAGCTTGAATGTACCCGGTCGAAATGTTGTTATCGTGAGACCAACTGCTATGCCTAAAACAAATTCTGAAGGTACAAAGAGTGCACATATTATGTTATAGTCCAATTTCAGTAGCATGATGTTTTTCAAGAAGCTCTTTTAGCATCCTTTACTTATTTGGTTGGGGATTTGAGAAGGAATTTGGAAATGGAAAGAAAAAATTAAGTGAAATATGAATAAAATATACTTACATTTCACCTAATTTCACACACCTTTGCCCTTTTCCTTTCCAAATTCCTCCCCAAATCCCTCAACCAAACACAGCATTAGTGTTTTGTGATCTTCTCAATCAATATCTACAAGAAAATTATATAAGAAGCATGTACACTTTTAAGATGGTGGATTGTCACTCTTCTTGGCATGTATCAGATATTCATCCAAATGCATTCTATTATTATTTTTTTGGACCTAGACACGCTTCGGACACTTGGTAATTCAATTTCTTTTAACTTAACTTTGGATATTTCCAAATCAGATCAAATAAGCCCAATTCCAGTGGGAGAGGATGCAGCAATTCCAGAAGAAGAAGCAATCTGCAAATTTTGTTTCAAAGTAATGGGAGAAGAAAGGTGCTTAAGACAAATTGTAGATGCAAAAATGCCCTCGTCCATGAACAATGCACAGCTGACTGGTCCCAAGTGAAAGGAAACAACAATTGTGATGTCTGTGGACAAGTGGTTCAAAACTTGCCTGTGATTTTGCTTTGGGCATCAACATATGACAGTGTTGATAGACAAGACTCCAACAAGAAGAGCTTATTTTCACGACTAATTCTCAACAATGCTGCTAAGCTCAAAAAAGTTATTAGAAAAGTTGTTAGAAAATGAAGTGAGCAGACCATATTTATTTTGGGTGTGACTCTCATCACATTAAGTTTGAATCTACACCTCCACACCACACTTTATTTTTGGGTAACTTTACTGACTACTTTTTCAGAATCCCTAGCTTTTTCCATTCTAATATAGCTCAAGACTGAAAACCATGCAGAAGTAAAATGGGCTGGAGTTTCCTTCTTTCTTACTATTTCTAATTTTAGATGTTTTTCTTTATGGAAAATACTTGTGTTAGACCATATCTAACAATTTAAGCTTATAAAGTATTTGTTCATTAACATAATACTAAACCAACTAGAGCTTGGACTTGAATCTTATTGTTTACCTTGTAATTCACACATGATACTCACCCATTGGAGGGACTTGAGCCTCTAGTTAATAAACGTGTGTAAATACTGGTGCTAGATCCTATAAGAGCTACATTAGTTGTAAACACTTGAACATCACATACAAGCCCTGTTTGATATGTTGGTTGGAGGGGGATTGGGATTGTTATTGTGAAACCTAATTCTATAAACTTCATTACTGGATCAATCAAGTTCAAAACATTCTTAGGACTGCTAGATTACTATGTTATGTTGATTGATTTTCACCTCGTACATCTGCAACACAAATTGATTCTAACAATCGAAAGATCAGCAATCCAGAATGAAATCAACTGCTAAATATTGATGCACATCTTCTTAGCCATATCACAACTACTCTTTTTCCATCAATATTTTTTACTATTCTTCATTACATAGTTATGAAGTCTAGATTGCTCTTGAAATATGATTCACATCACTATATACAATAGTTGAAGAACAAATTACACAACGTCACTAAAAGATCAAACACGATGGAGGTGAATCTGTGCATAATAACAGTCGCTCAACTTTATCTCTTGAACCAATAGTACTATACCACAAGAAATGGAAATTATTCTCAAAATTATTTTGTTGATTGTATATCTAATTACTCTTATACACCGAACAACAGGTCATTCACTACTAATTTTCAAGGACATAGAGTTCAGTTTCAGGCCAATAACAATGGAGGTTGATTTGGCTACCAATCCAACTCTAGAATTTTTTGTCAAATATGTGGCAAAGATAGTCATATTGCCTTTGATTGCAAGCACAGAAAGGTTCCCGATTTTCTACTAGAGTCTACTTTGCCTGCTTCAACTAGTCATTCCAACTCAAGAGCTTATGTTGCTGCCTCTTCCCTGACACGACCAGTAAATTGTTACATTGATTCAGCTGCAACCAATCATGTTACTAATGACCTAACAACCTGCAACTCTATGAATGTTATCAAGGACCAGATCAGGTTACAGTAGGCAATGGTAATTCATTACCGATTTGTCACAAAGGTAAGGGAATCTTACTTATTTGAGACGTTTTTCCTTATAACAATATTTATATCAGACCATGTCTTACTATTTATGGTTATAGAGTATTTAGTCATTAACACACATAATACTAAGCCAAATAGGTCTTGGGGAGGCACACATGCCAGGACACCCCAACTTGATAGCATTTAGTATCGAACAAATTACATTTATTCGGAAACTTGTTTCCAAACGAATTTCACTTGTTTGGCAATGTGTTTCCAAATTATTTAATGTTCAATAGTTCATATCTGAACAAAATGTATATGTTTGGCTCTGTGTTTCCATATATTTTAATTTTCTAACGATGGTGATGGCCAATGGTGCAATCGTGCTACTATTGTTGTCCACTTGGAATCTCTGCTTTGAGAGTTTGAACGACAATGGGGTTGTTGTAAGGGTGTCTAATGCATGTCTTGAATTTAAATGACTTTAAACTTCTGTGTTGCACCAAATGGGGATCACAAGGGAATGAAGCAACAAAAAATTTACTCTTATACACCGAAAAATAGGGGATCACGATGAATTTATTGGTTTTTGATATAATTGAATTTACAAAGCATTTGATACTTCTCTCTCTTTGTTATGTGCCCAATCAATAATACAGGATATGTGACAATTTTTCAGGAAAAATAGGGGACAAAGTGACCACATGACCATATGCTATTGGACAGGCACACAACCATGCTGGAATTCTTGACCCACTTGATAATTTTGCTTTCGAGAAGTTTGTTAAGTCTAGTTTACCATGGGGCTGTGAGTAGATGTAATAACAGGGATACATGACTATTTTGTTTGAAAAATAAGAACAAAATATCCCTATGTTCTCTTACTAGTAGAATGGCACACCAACTAAAAGTTAATAATTCAAAAGCAAAAAGCAAAAGCACTCATCACCCAATTTTTAAAAATCAATTTATTTAATTTATTTCTACCTAATAAACCATAATAAGAAGCTGTATCAAATAGTTTGGCATAGACTTCTAAAATAAAACAAAAAAGCAATAAACAACTCAGATAAGTTGCACCAAACAGTCCCAAGAAGGACCACGGGAAGCATTTGAAGACACGTCCATCCAATAATCAATATGCCCTTAAGACTTCTATGTCCAAATTTAGTAAAATAAGCTTCTTTTTTTCTTTTTTTTTTTAAAGGGTGAAATTAGAGTGTTGTATCAATTAAGTGAGGCTTGCAATTGTGTTCAGTAGATCAGATGATCCTTCCTGCTTTCCATCACCAAGAATCAAGAATCAAGATGCTGTGGTATGGTTCTGTATATTTTGTCACAATGACTGACCTGTCATGTTATCCTCTTGAATTGGGTTGTAACTTGTGACTCTTAACTGTGTTCAATAAAATACTCTTATTTACTTTTCTCATTGAAATTTTATGCCAAATATATATATATATTTTTTGGTGCTTTATTTGGGAGATGGCATAAATGAAAACTAGAAGATAAAATGATGAAAACACCTTTCTTTTTGAGAAATTATTTAGTAAGTTTGATTTATAGACGTCGTGTATGTTTAATAGTAAAAAGATCCATGACTATATTTTTTGTTTTTTTAGGACAAATTTCACTTTACCCCTTGTAATTTGGCTCATATGCACATAATTTATTGTCATTTGGAATTAAGCACACAACCCCTATTTGGTTTATGAACTAAAGTGTACTGTTACGCTTATTAACATCTCAGAAGAAAATACTTAACATCATTGTATGCAAGTAATCTCATTGTGCAAACCCACAATCATTTTTGTCATTTTTTTGAAAATCAATATTCACATTAACCCTTGTAACCCTGATATTTGAAAATGAGTACACAACTCTCATATCCTAGCATGTGTTTCATACTTGTTAATTAGGATCAAATGTATAACAGTGCACTTTAATCTACAAAATGACAAAGGACTTGTGTGATTATTTCTAAATAATAGGGTGTAATCTATATATGGACCAAATCACAAAACGATAAAATAAAATTTGCTCTTTTTTTTTCATAAACAAAATGGCCACGTGTCCTCTATAAATCAGACCTATCATATAACTTCTTGAGTCCTGAAGCTTGAGGTTTAAAGAGAATAAAGCAAATACTAAAAACACTCACAAAAGCATATCAACAAAAGTCATGAACTGAAGAAATCAAATACTGGGTTTGGTTCTGATATCCAAAGCTGGTTTTCAGGTATCATCCCTAAAACGAACCTTAGTCATTCGACCTAGATAAGCAGCAAATCTGACTGTTGATCAGAAAATGATTAAAATCAACTTAAAAAATCAAGATGGTTTTCTCAAAGGGTCAAACTTACCACTGGCGCTGTTTGGGAACCCAGGTTTGCGGCTAAAATAGCCTCAAACACTAAAAAGGCCTAATAGTCTCAAACAGTGCCTAAGCCACTTACCTATATTAAAAATAAAAATAAAAAGAGTAGCCTAAGCCACTGTTACAACATTAAGATGCAATAATAAAAAATAAAAACACATTTAAGTTGTCGCAACTCATGTGCAAAGGCTAACTATTTGGAACAATTATTTGTAAGCTAAAAATTGATAATCAAAAAACATCTCACTAGTCAATTTTTTTTCAGCTTAAACTATTTTTGCCTTATAAATTATAAGTAAAAGTTGTTACATTCTGACAACAAGAAAGGAAAAGGAAGGGAGGGGAAAGGCGAGAAAAAGCCCGATGCTTTCCCCTTGAAACTTTGTTTTATTTTTTATTATCACTAAAAGCACACCACAAAGAATTTACTTACTAGAATGTTGAATCTATACGTAAGAGAATCCAAGCTATATTAGAGTATACAGGACCAACGTGCTTTCTATTCACTGATGTACAAATGATTTCATTTTCTGCCCCATGGAAAGCAGCAACAGCTCTGTCACAGAGAGAGAGAGAGAGAGAGAGAGAGAGAGAGATTAGAATAGTAGTCTAGCAGATGAACTACATGAGCGTAACTAATAAAACTATACAAACATAATTTATATAAGGAATTTTCATAAAGCACGATGTGGTTCATTTTTATCCATTCACCTGAAAATAGAAGGCCTATCACTGTGTTTCATAGTATCAATAACATCACCCCACAACAGTCGGCACTCTAAATGGGTTTTTTTGTAAAAACGTTATATTTACTTAGTATTAATACCCCCTCCGTCCCAAATTATCTGTCCATTTTCGGCATTCGTTCCCTTTAATTGGGTCAATAAATAATGTATTTTTCGTAAAAAAAAACAATTTTTTTTCACAGATTAAAATATCTCAATTAGTTCTTTGAGATAAAATTAATAAATACAAACAGTTTTTTGAGATGTCTGGAATAGTGAAAATGGACCAAAATTTGGGAGAGAGGGTGTATGTGAGAATTTTAAATAGAGGGTTTGCCTCATTGCTATATGACAGAACATTCCTAAATTTCCAGTAAATCAAACACCATATAGTCATGTCTCCACTCTGACAATTCTCGATTTTAACAACTATTGAGGAATTGAAATATTAACAGAAGGTACTAACAAACCTGGGAATCGCCTTTTCCATATTGCTTCTGACCATTGGAATAAGAAGTGTCAGTTGCCATGACAGGAACCTTTCCTGCCCCACTCTGCTTCTCCTCTCGGACTTGGTTGAATATGTGAGAATAACCTTCAGCTGATGCGGGGTCGCTCTCATCCCAATCACCAAATTTGGGAACAGCAGGACTGTGATCAGGCTGCCAAATCAGAACAAACATCACTACTTCAAAATAAAACCATGACAGATTTTCCACAATGATCACTATCCAATAGTGTCCAACTCGGTATTCTAAGTTGTCATTTCATCAATGGTTCAACCTTCCATTGGTCCAATAGATTCCTTAAACTCTAAGGGAGGGGAAGGAAACCCAATTCCCATAAATCACCAATAATCATTCATAGTTTTCAATTTAGATGTCTGATTCAATTAATCATCTAAAGCTACACAAACTAGGCCCAAGCGATTTTAAGCAGATTTTAAAAAGCAGTCTTCAGTAGCCAAAAGTTTCTCCATGCTTCCCTCTTGTCATCCCTAATCCTCCGTTGAAACATGATAAGAGAAAGTGAACTTGGTACCTTAAAAAAGTGAATAGTATTCCAAGTTTTCTTTTCTTTTCCTACAACTTCTCATAAGTCAATGAAAAAATTATAAGGTAATTCAAATCACCATTTTCCTAGTAAGCTTACATAGTGCACGTATGCGTGAACACTTGTGCAGATTTGAGAATGTAGAGACAATGAGATATCAGAGAAAGAATAAATTACAGTGTCATCGCCTCGATTGACTGATCTCAATCGGGATCTTAGGCCATGGCTGCCTTCAGACGACCCCTTCCTCTCCTGTGAGGGAGAAGAAACCCCACTGCTTTTACCTCCAACCCTCGACTGGTAATGAGGGTGAAGTGGTGAGTGGTCAGTGCAAGAACTGGAACTTTTCCGTGTAACCCTTTTGGGGGTTTCACCAGTTTCATGCCGCAATGGAGGATCTGCTGCTCTACTGAGGTCACCTTCTTCCTGGCTCAGCAGGCATTGATTCGTTGGTCTCAATGCATCTGAGCCCTTTTGTGCCTCTGATTCTACTTTACTACTTCCAGATCCTACGCCACCATAATTTTGAAGCTCACCTTCTTTCCGGCTTGTCCGGCGCTTAGGCTTTGACTTTACATCTGATGTTCCCATTGCGCCCTTCACTTCAGCCTCTTGTTGAAAAGGAGGTCCTCGAACAGGAGGGGTATTGTCCTGAGGATCATTTGGATTCATCCTCACGCCACCTTTACCTTTTCTTGCTTTATCAAAATATTCCGTATAGGAAACATTTTCTTCACTTTCCCATTTGCCAAACTGTGGTACTTCTGATTGTTGCTGCAAGCACGAGGCAAAAGCTTATTAAACAAATGCATACACGTGACCCCGTTGTAGGATCAACCAACGCACGAGCTCTCATCTCTTTAGTACAATAAATAAATAAGTTCAGGATGCTTTTTTTATCTTCTCTTTTCTTTTCTTTTTTTTGTTTGGGGGGGAGCAGTTGGTCAATACTACTAATGTTGAAATTGAGAAGTCAATAAATTACTGAAGACATAAGCTATTGGAAATAAATGCAAAGTACATAATTTTCTTTTTTCTTTTGCATTTGATATTGTCCTGGTTTTATTCTGTTAAATTGTTGAACCCTAGTGAATTGATTAATAGCTATGCTCCCACATAGAATAAGATCTAAAAGAATCAAAAGAAGCTCATAATGGGTTCTCGTAGAGGAAAACAATAATATGACTTTGACAATAAGCAGATATCAATATTGCAAATGTTGATCAAGTTGCAATAAATTTTAAGCACACAATTTTTTCTGAAGAACCCAACTTTATCTGTAGAAATCAACAAGGCATTGGTATGGGTGCTTTTAGTAAAACTGAAATAAAGAAAAAGGGGGGAATGGAGCAGTTGGGGTAATAATACTATTTAAGGAATTTTTTTTCAAATATATTATTAATGTGTCTCTGCCTGTGCTCGTCATAGTTTGTCCTATGCACATCCTTCCTTGAATATCTTTCAAATCCACCTCACTAAGATCCACCCTTTTGAGACCTGGTCTGTGGAGAGCCTTGTGCTTGGAGAATAGTTTCATTAGAACATATTCTCTACAGTCACAATAAAGTAAATTAGATTTTTTTTTTTCTTTTATGTACTTGTTTACTAATTCCATAGTAGCTAATTCTCATTCCCTATGATAGGGACATAGGAAGGTGAGGTATGAGATTGAATAAGAGACACAACATCTGTACTAACATATGCCCCAACTTCGCGGCCAGCAAGCGGCCCTCATGGTTGTGTGCATGGGTCAGCTCTGATACCATTTCTAATGTCCCACTACTTGCTGGCCAAAGTAATCTGTGGTTCTACCAACATAACTCAAAAGTTTAAGCCCAAGTTACTAAGTAGCAAGGTAGTGGTGCTTTATATATCCAAGATCACCCATGCAAACTTCCGATGCGGGACGGAGTGTTACACAACTAGCACTCACTTTAATTTATAGGCTCCTCAATCACTCGAATCTCACAGAATTTCATGTTTCTTGGGCTTAAAAACAAAAGGAGACAAAGATAGAGAAATTACTTGGGAGTTAGTGACAATGAACTTCCAAGTTCTTATTTCTTGTGCTTAAAACAGAGATTGAGAAAGGAGTTTTTTGGAATTAGTGGTTGGGGTGTTATGGTTTTGTTAAGTCTCCTATCAATTCAACTCATTGATACCCCCAGACATGTCAATTCAAACTAACTCAAAGCAATTAATCAATGAATTTAATTACACTTGTTCAAAACAAAATTCAATTACACCCTACTCATTACCATCTCTCTCTTTCACCCTTTCTTTCTAAATTTCCATTTTCACTGATGAGTTTTTGAATGTGTGAATTTTTCATTTATTGGGCTTACAGAAAGAAAGAAGACAGTGAGGGAGAAAGAGATGATGTTGGACAAGCAACAATAACGAAATTGATATCGCATTTTTTTTAGGTTGACCATTGTTTTGATAACATACTATTTTAGATAAAAAGTCAACTTTCTCTCTACTTTTTTGCAAGTCTTTTTGTAAAAAGTCAAAAAGCCAACTAAAATAGCTAATTTCCAAAACAACCTAAATCAGTGAAATTTCCTAACTAAATAAAAAGAACATAGTAGGATGTCTAAAGTAGGTAATTGTTACATAATAGTTTTCCCTCTAACCAATCAGGAAGTGCAGTGCAAAAAATGAATGTCAAACCTTCCTGCACCAGTTGCAACATGTTTGGAGATTATGTAAACAAGTTAGATAAAGCACGACCAAGAATTTCAAATGCTCTTTTCTCAATCTCTTTTTAAGCACCAGAAACAATCACTCGACATTTCATTTTCAAAAGTAATCCCTCTCTCTCTCCCCCAAGAAACACAAAATTTTGAGAGATTCAAGAGATTGAAGAGCCTATAAATTGAGGTGGGTGCTAGTGGCATCTTCTTACATCACTTCTACTATTCTCTTTCGAATGTATTGGCTTAGGAAGTCATTTAGGAAACTCAAACATTCCCAGCCATCTGTAAGCACAGATGTTGCATCTTTTATTCCCTCTCCTACCTCACCTGCCTCTAAACGTCCATTTCACAGACTTTTACAGCTACAAGCCCTTCTTGTTCCTATTTCCCATTCGAAATGGGAATGAGAATTAGCTACTATCAAATAAGTAAAGCATGTACAAAAAATATATATATATTTTAATTCACTAGTATTAAATTACTGACTGTGGAGAATATGCTCTTACGAAACTATTCTCCAAGCACAAGGCTCTCCACATACAATGTCACAAAAAGGTGAATCTTGGTTTGGTGGACTTGAAAGATAATCAAGGAAGGTTGTGCAAATTCTGTGACCAAGTATTCTACATTAGATAATACGATGAGCACAAACAGAAACTTCGTGAATTTTGTGTTTCTAATGCACGAATAATCTAGAATGGAATATTAGTTTACAGAATGAAAAGTTTTTTTATGTGGTAATGGTTATGTAAATGTGTGGATTATGTAGGAGACTGTTGTGAACAGGTGATTTAGTACTTCAGGTCTGCCCTCTTGGCTGGGTTCACCTTGCCAGGATTGGGTCGTGACACTAAGGCCCACCAAGATTGAAACTTCAGGATAAGATCCATTCCAACCCCCTTACCACTGCCCCATTCAATAACTAAAACTCAACAGGTTTTGAAGAAACAACTACGGTTTCTGATGTGTCCATTGATCAGATGTCTACCAGATTCTCACTCCTGTCCAAGCCCTATTCACTCACACGACCATAGACTACAATGCAACTTACAGAAAATTAACTTCATACCCTCAGGTAACATAAACAGCTAAACTAGTTCTTTCATGTGAATTACCTGTATAATTAAAATTACTGGCTCTGCAAAAGATTTAAAAAAAAATTCAGTGACCATGAGAAACAGATTGAATTCTTTAGTATAAGATTGGAACAATTCAGTAATTGGTCGTCAACAGTGAAATCAACCTGCGTGATTCAAATAAAAAAAGTTGCACATAGTTTTCAGAACATCTAGATAATTTGGCTAATGGAACCACAATAACAATTAAGAAGGTACTGCATTATTCTACTTCTTAGAGATAGTTAGCACCAAGCAATGTGCATGGATCATCATACTGGCACAAACTTAATAGATTGATCACATAATGCCTCTCTTACTATTCCATCACTAGTATCAAATTTAGAACTTCAAGCTTAATTCCTTGGAATTCTAAGAAATTGAGCAAGTATATGGAACAGGATATGTACAACTTAGAGCTAAGAAGCATAGACATGACACAAACACGCAGATGTGAAAATTTTTCAAAAAATGCAAGACACAACACGAGGGGACACATGCAAAACATAAAATTTTATATATTATTATATGACATGTCATATTTTTTTAAAATTATATATTTATTCTATGTTAAATATTTAATCTCATCAAATTCTTCAGCCACAGGTATTCTATTCCAGTGAAAAAAAATATATACAAAAAAATTTTTAAAAAAAAATTTAAATGAGAGAACTAATTATTTTTTAGCGAGAGGGGCATGGTTTTGAGGGAGGGAAAGCATGGTTTTATATTAAACAGAAGTGGCTGGATTGCAGTCTCCTTGTCCCCAACATGTCCTCCAGCATGTCTCCAACGTGCCCTGACTTGTTATGAACATGCCCTCAACACGTCATGAACATGCCCCCAACACGTCAGGCATATGTCCTTGTCAAACACCAGTATGTGACCTCTAGGGAGATGTTTGTGCTTCATAGAGCTTCCCCAATGTTAAAGCACTAGTGGTGCCAAAAACTTACAAAAGGGTCCAACAATGCTTTTCATACTCTCCAACACCCTCCGTCAAATGCAACACAATCTTACATGTGGAGATACAAACATAACATGCAAACAAACGTAATGCAAATGGGAAACAAATGCAGATGAAATACTTAAACCCAGGACCTCCCCCAACCTGAGCTCCAATACCATGTTAGAACACCACTATTCCCAAAAACTTATGCTATTAGGAAATGGGTCAAAAAATGCATACAAGCTATCCAACACCAAATAAGTATACGGTGTTTGTATTGCATCTAGTGATGTGTGTTAGGCCATCCGTGTGTATGTAAGAAGTCTTGGACAAAACATCAACTACTTGACTAGTTGCATATTATTTTATAAAGACACCTATCATGAGACTTTTCCCCTATAATATGTATGTTCCCTCTATAAACAAACAAAAGGAGGTTAGAAAAGCTAGCCTGAGCCTAGCTGACAAAGACTCGTCACTGCATTAGACACCCAAAAGACATCAAAGAGCAGGATTCATGCCCTTATGTACAAATCACACAACATATGACTACCTTGAAAAACTGTAAAGTATTGTCTAGAGAATTTTATAGCATTGATTATTCCTTCCCATTAGGGCAGTGTGTGGGGGCCTACTACTTATTTCAATCCTCAAACAAAAACAGTCAATTTTCAATATCTAACAGAGGAGTAGGATCCCTTGTTAGTTGTCACAGGTTATTTGAACTTCATCTAGGTGACTCAGTAATACACATCATGAGTTACCACCTTTACATGATGGCATATTACTGTTATTGTATATACCTTTCCAAATCTCAACAGCCATGACTTTGGTCTACATAACCTATATATAAAGGGAATAGAGCATTTTCCACCTTTCTACTAATAGTAACAACACTACAGCTAAACAAGTATGAACTTGTATATATAAGAATAATGAAATTAATATTGCATCTTTTGAGGGTCAATCAGTCATATTCTGCGGCAACTCTACTTGAGAAGTGATGGGGTCATGGGACACCATCAAGCAATAAAAAATTATTGAAAAAATATATATTTAAATTGTTCATATTTAATTTAATATTGTTTAATCCCATTAAATAATTAAAGGACACCATTAAATAGGGATTCACACTCATCAAGTTTGAGAAGTTTAAATTATTCTGTTTGGTTAACAATTTTTATTTATTTATTTTTAATCTTTAGTGAACTTTTTAAATATTTTGAGCAATTTTTTTTACTTTTTTTGATCCTCTTGATTTGAATACATTTAAAAAGTAAAATATTTAAGAAAAATCATTAAATAAAAAAATTACAAAAATTCAGTATATTTTCATTTTTTGTGTGTGTTTATTGATTTTTTTTTTATAGATTTTTTGATAAATATTTTATTTTTTAAGTACATCTAGCTTATCTTTTTCTAAAAAATAAAAAATAAAAATAGAAAAAAAAATAAAATAATAAATAAACAAATAGAACTTTAAAGACAACAAAACACAAAAAACACAAAAACCCGAACTGTCTTTAAGAACACAAAACTAAACAGAATGAATGTCCTTTAATTTTATTTATTTTTTTCTTATAAAATTTGTAGAACTTAAACTTGTGAGGTGACCCCATCTACAAAAAAATCCTAGAGTCGCCACTAGTCATATTACCTAACTAAATGGAGAGAACATAGTATGGTGTTTGAAATAAGTAATTATTACATGAAAGTTTCCATCTAACCAATCAGGAAGTGCAGTGCAGCAAATGAATGAGTAAAACTTTCCAGCAACAGTTGCAACATGTTCAGAGATTGTGTAAGCAAGTTAGATAAAGCATAAGCAGGAAGGAATGAGTAATGAAAATGAAAATGTGTTTTTCAGTATAGGATACTTCTTTGTTCTAAATTTTGTTATATATATGTCTCATCATCAACCTAGTTTATCAGCACTAAAATTAAATTTTGTTGTATATTTTATCAAGAGTCCATAAAATCAAAGGCCAAGCAACACACTAACCAAGTTAAGAGAAAACTGTAAGGTGTCCGCTGCCCAGCAGAGAAACAAAAACTCTCTCTCTCTCTCTCTCTCTCCTTCCTACCCAGTGTTATTAAAGGCGATAGGCGCACCGAGGCGCCAAGGTCTCTTGGGGCCTAGGCGCAAAGCAGAAGGCGAGTGTCTATGATCCATTCTGTGATCTGTTTCTGTGCATGTAGAACTATTGAGAGACATTCAGTCCCAAAGAAAAGGACTATCAACAAATCTGAAAATGCCCAATATTTTAGTAGTGCAAAGTTAATTTACATCAAAGAATTGCTCTATTTTTTCTACTTTTCCAGTAAAGTAAAAGGGCAAATCAGGAGCCCATAGAAAATATCTTAGAGACACGCACACACACACACCAACAACAACAACAAAAAATTTGTTAGAAGAACACATTAGCACAATTACCCAAGTATCAAATCTACCAAATTTCTCTGTTCCCTTCAGAGAGTTGAACAATATCCAACATTCTGGATCAATCCATCAACAACCAAAATGAAATCCAAAAAATACCCAGCACTTCAAATCTAACGGTTATACTGTGGAACTTCCAAAAAAAAAACACTGAGGAAGATCAAACATATAAAGAACACAAAATTCAGTAAATCTTAAAAATTGAAACCCGTAATAACAATTCAGTGGATTCAAACAAAAGAACACAAAAAGGGCACATTCAACATTTGACAATAGTTGCAAATAAAAGAGGAGAGAAATGGGTAAAGAACTCACTGCCATTGATGTGCTCTGCGCAAAACCCAAAAAATGCCAAAGATGATGAACCTTTCAGTAGATTCACTTTTACCTTCATAAAAATTGGCAAGAGAGAGAGGGGTGACCGGTTGACTGGCGCCACCGGTGAGGATTGACCTCGGTCGTGTTGTTGTCTTCCACAAGACGGTCCTCGAGTAAGTCAAGCATACGTGGCGGTGACGGTAGGTTTTTAGTTTACATGTCGTTAAAAGCACTAAATTATGGGATTGTTTGAGATGTCTTAAATAAGTGTATTTTTTATTCTTTTATTAAAAAATTAAAAAAAAAATATGGATGTTTAGATTAATTTTTTGACTTTTTATAAAAAATGTGTATTAAAAAATTGTATAAATTAGTGTGTAAGAGAACATTAGGATCGAGAGTTGTGTAGTCATAATTTTTGACTTTTGATAATAATGATAAATTTTAACTTTTTGAATAATTTTTTGACTTTTTAACTTTTTTTTAACTTGCCAAACTAAGGCCAAGTTTGGCTACAAAGAAAAAAGTGCACTTATTTTATCTTTTTATCTTTTTTGGGTCACATCAATCAACATCTCCTCTCTACTTTTTCTACACATAATACAAAAAAAGTCAAAAAGTACACTTATTTAGGCCAAGTTTGGAAAGACTAAAAAAGTGCACTTTTGTCTTTTTGGACTAAAAAATTGAGGTTGAAAATATGGATGTTTGGGTTAACTTTTTGACTTTTTATTGGTCAACAATTACGGTTGCACAACTCCCAATTCAAATTTTTCCCTAAAAATCAATTTTTAGGGAAAAATTTGAATTGGGAGTTGTGCAACCGTAATTGTTGACTTTTGATGAATAGTGTTAACTTTTTAACTTTTTAAGTAACTTTTTGACTTTTTGACTTTTTTTAAAGTCCCCAAACTTGACCTTAGTTTTCCCAAACTAGGCCTAAGCCTAACATTCAAAGGCGTATTTGGGTAGAAAGGTTAAAAGTCAGGTTTTTAGTTTTTTAATATATTATTTTTTATTTTTTTGTATATTTTTTTAAAAATGTTAAGAAATTTTAAATATTTTACTAAATATTCTACCAAATATCTTACATGATATGAGATTCACATCATGTGAGTCCCACACACATTTAGCAAAACATTTAGAAAAGTATTTGCACTGACCCTACTTCAGAAACATACTTCACAGATACACAACTAAACCAAGCATGTAGTGACCCACATTTCATGTTCTCATCATGTTCATGAGCATTTGTATGATTATAAGTGTGAAGTTTTTTTTTTGTGTTGTTGTGCATTTTTTATTCCAAATTTAAAATATTAGTTTGGTTTAAATTTTTTTAAATTATTAATTCATATTTTTATATTTTTATTGAGTTTTTAAAATATTTTAATAAATTATATGTTTAAAAAGTATAAAATTTGTACAAAAATCTTTTAAAAATTAATTGAATATAACAAAATATGAAAATGTATTGAATTTTCAAATTTTTTTTTGTATTTTTTATATTTGGAATTTTTATTTAAAAAAATTAAAATTATTACATTTTTTTTAAATGTATCTAAATTAGGTGTATTGAAAAAAAAAATTATGCAAAATATTAAAAAATTTAATAAAAAAATAAAAAAACAAAAATTTCAATTTTTTGAAAAACAGAAATAATCAAACTATTTTTAATTTTTTGCTTACATACTTTTTATAAAATTTATATCTTTTTTTAAAACAATATTCATATTGAATATATCAACTTGAATAATGTTTCAGAGCTCGAAAATTTGCCCCCCCTAATCCCCCTAATGCCCAAAACGACGTCGTTTTGAGCATTAGGCTTCTTTTTTTTTTCTTTTTTTTCTTTCATTTTCGACATTTTCGAGCTCAAACACACAGGGGGAAGAGGGAGAGGGAGAGAGAGAGGGGGAGAGCGGAGAGGAGAGAGAGAAAGAGAAAGAGAGGGAAGGGAGACACACACACACAGAGGCCCCCCTGCATTTCGACCGATCGGCCAATCGTCGCAGCTCCGCCATCGTCGCAGCTCGTCCGCCGTGCCGCCGTCGTCTGCCTCTGCTTCTTCTTCCCTTCTTCTTCTCTTCTTCCCTTCTTTCTTTCTTCCCTTCTTCTTTCTTCATTTCTGCCTCTGCTTCATCTCTGATTAAACGAAAAAAATAAAAAAAAAATCCAAAAACGACGAAACGAAGTCGTTTTTGGTTCGGGGGATTCGGGGGGGCGTGAATTCGAGCGACGTAGCACTGCCGAATAAAAAATTAGGCTTTACTCCAGGGTTTTTTTTTTTTTTTTTTTTTTTGAAAAAGTTGGCAAAAGTGGGGCTTTTGGGCTATTTTATGGAAATAGGCTACAATAGCCTCGTTTGAGGCTTCCCAAACAGCGCCTATATAAAAAAAACAGAGAGAGAGAGAAAATTACAACACATTGGTTTTCTTTAAAAATATATTTACCAAAACATTAAAAAATATATATATATATAATTTTAATTAGTAATATTTATAAATTTTATTATTTATGTGTAATTTATTTTCTAACTTTACACTTAACAGTAATTCTTCCAAAAAACAATAGAAATTAAAAAATAAAAAATACTTGAAACTCCCACCATTTTTTACCCCCATAATCCCCAATTAATTTGTGGTCACACCTTATATTTTTTTTTTCTTTCTCCACTCTCTCTCTCCTTCCCCGCTCATAAATGTGTGGAGATGCTAGGTCTGGATCATTTCTCTTAAAAAAAAATGAGAAAAAAAAAATTGTCACTGTTGAGGTTGTTGTCAAACTTGTCCTAGTTAGTTACGTGTCTCAATCAAGTGAGAGAGAGATCGGCTAGATGATTTTTTTTTATTATTATTAATGTTTTGTCAAGGATATTATGGGCTAGTTTGGCATGTACTAAATAAATTAAAAAGTCAAAAAGTCTCTATCTTATTTAAGTCACATCATCTTATTTAAATCACATCACCTCTCTAACACATCACATCAAACCCAACCCAAACCCAATCCAAACCCACCAATAAGTCAAAAAGTACACTTTTTTAGAACATTCCAAATCAACCCTATGTATTCCATTAAATAATTAAACTCATAACTTAAAAAAAAATTTACTACCAATTCTCATATTCTCATCCCTTAACATTTTGCGTTTACAGTGATCCTTGTACTCATCTTAGCCATTGTATTTACAAGTCTTCATTCATTATATACATGATCAGACTATCTTCTTATATTCCTTCTCAACGTAGGCCCATTTATAAATTAGTTATTTTAAGCGAGTTGTTATTTTTATTTTATTTTGCTTTAAATATATTCCTTTTTATTTATAATAAGGATTAATAATGAAGTGTATTTTAAGCAAAGTGGAATAAGAATAGTAACTCTCTATTTTAATTATTTTTTAATTTTTACAAAAAAGATGAATAGAGACGCAAAGACAGCGATATCACAATTTATAGTAACTTTTTGACTAAAAACTCTACTCTCCAAATTAGACCTTATTTTCAATTGATAAAACTTGTATTATTTCATGAATATATATCATTTTTAATTTTGTTTTCCTTAATCTTATCATATATCTCGTTTGGCAAGATAATTGGAATTAATTTAACCCACTAAAAAATGAAATAGGTTAAAATATCAATAAAACAAAATATCACATTTAAATGATAATTATTTTATTTTTTCTGTCACAAAATTATAAAAAAAGTCAAAAATTTATTTCAAATGAAACTTTTTTTAATCAGGCTAAAATAATTAAAAAATCAAATTAAAAAAATTCTTCCCAAAAGAAGGCTATCTCAACTAATCTCATTTTCATGGTGTATAGAGAATGAATTTGCTCACACAGTTTTTTTTAGTGTGAACAATGCATAACATGTGATTGAACCACGGATCTCATATCGAAAATGTATAATGACCCAACCCAAAATGCTTGTTCTTGCTATTATCAACCAATCAAAATGTGTGTTACGTGTGAACAAAATTCAACTCTTTGTGAATATTTGTCAGACTTGCACAAAAAAAAATATTTCACCTATAATATAATTACTTTACAATGTGTTTAGATTTGGATAGAAATTTAGAACTGTAAAAAAATAAAATATAAGACAAATATAAATGAAATCGTAGTTAAATTTTTTTTAACATGCGGTTTGTTTTGGCGGAATATATTTTTTAAAATATATTTTCTATATTTTTTGGTGTTTAGTACAATGAAAAACAAAAATCAACGAAAAACATTTTTTATGACGAATGGAAAACAAGACTACTTGGGCAGAAAATAATTTTTATTTTTTGGAAGGCCAAAAATATTTTTCAGACTAAAATTTTACTAATATTACCACACCATCATCACCACTCTTCCCTCTGCCACCATCACCACGGCCACTGCCACCATATCGGTTTCCATCATGGTCGCCGTTGCTCCACCACCATGCCACCACCTCCACCTCTATCTTCATTCCACCACCATCACCAAACAAAGAAAAATATTTTCTCTATCAAAAATTTTCTAGAAAAAAATTTCATAAAAAATGTTTTCTGTTAAAAAGTATTTTATATCCAAACAAATGAAACGTAAATCTCTACCCAAATTCATCCATCAACCAAACACAATTTAAAAGACTATCCCCTTATTTGTAATTCAACAATGTTTGGTAGCTCAAAATTTTGTGACTCAAATAACTCAAATGACTCGAAACGACGTCAAAACGTCATTTTAAATGTAAAACGACATCATTTTAACAAATTTTAACAAATTTAAACCATTTAAATCATAAAATTTTAAATTACTAAACATTTACCATTCTAATTTCACCAAGAATATGTGAACATGACTGGCGGCGGAAGAGTATTTGACCTGTCGACGGAGGGGGAAAGAAAATTATTAAGATAAGGCTAGGCTCTACTTCTTCTACTGGTGCCTTTAAATAAACAATCCCCAAATCCAAACCTAAATCTGACTCTCCACAGAATTAGAAGATTATAATTTTATCAATGAGGCCAAGTTTGATATGGGACTAAAAAGTTAAAAAGTTATTCAAAAAGTTAAAAAATTATTATTATTTATCAAAAGTCAAAAATTACGGCTGCATAATTCTTAATTCTAATTTTTTCTTACACACTAATTTATATAATT